TATATAGATGTGTAGTGTGTATATAGATGTGTAGTGTGTATATAGATGTGTAGTGTGTATATAGATGTGTAGTGTATATATAGATGTGCAGTGATAAAGAGATGTGTAGTGCACAGAGATGTGTAGTGTAGATAGATGTGTAGTGTGTATATTTATGTGTAGGGTGTATATAGATGTGTAGTGTATATATAGATGTGTAGTGTGTATATAGATGTGAAGTGTGTATATAGATGTGTAGTGTGTATATAGATGTGTAGTGTGTATATAGATGTGTAGTGTGTATATACATGTGTAGTGTGTATATAGATGTGTATTGTATATATAGATGTGTAGTGTGTATATAAATGTGTAGTGTGTATATAGATGTGTAGTGATAAAGAGATGTGTAGTGTGTATAAAGATGTGTAGTGTGTATATAGATGTGTAGTTTGTATATAAATGTGTAGTGTGTATATATATGTGTAGTGTATACTGATGTGTAGTATGTAAAGAGATGTGTAGTATGAATATATATGAGTATTGTGTATATAGATGTGTAGTGTGTATATAGATTTGTAGTGTGCATATAGATGTGTTATGTTTATATATCTGTGTATTGTATAGAAATGTGTAGTGTATAGCGATGGGTTGTGTATAAAGATGTTTAGTTAATAAGGATGTGTAGTGTTTAGATATGTGTAGTGTGTATATAGATGTGTAATGTATATATAGATGTGTAGTGTATATAGATGTGTAGTGTATATAGATGTGTAGTGTATAGTGATGTGTAGTGTATATAAATTTATAGTGTATAGCGATGCATAGTGTAAATAGATGTGTAGTTAATAAAGATGTGTAGTGTTTAGATATGTGTAGTGTGTATATATATGTGTCGCTGATAAAGATGTGTAGGGTATATATATGTGAAATGTTTAGAGATATGTAGTGTATAGTGATGTATAGTGTATAGAGATGTGTAATGTATAGATAAGTGTAGTGTATAGCAATGTGTAGTGTATAGAGGTGTGTAGTGTATATAGATGTGTAGTGTATATATATGTGTGTAGTGTATAGAGATGTGTAGTGTATAGACATGTGTAGAGTATAGATATGTGTAATGAATATAGATGTGTAGTGTATAGAGATGGGTAGTGTATAGTGATGGTTAGTGTATAGGGATGGGTAGTGTATAGGGATTTACCGTCTATATTTCTTCTTTGACCCATATATATGTGTAGTGTATAGTCATGTGTAGAGTATAGATATGTGTAATAAATATAGATGTGTAGTGATATATAGATGTGTAGTGTATAGTGATTGTTAGTGTATAGAGATCGGTAGTGTATATAGATGTGTAGTGATATATAGATGTGTAGTGATATATAGATGTGTAGTGTATAGTGATGGTTAGTGTATACAGATGCGTAGTGTCTAGTGCTGGTTAGTGCATAGAGATGGGTAGTGCATAGAGATGGGCAGTGTATATAGATGGGCAGTGTATAGTGATGGGTAGTGTATAGAGATGGGTAGTGTATAGAGATGGGTAATGTATAGAGATGTTTAGTGTATAGAGATGGGTAGTGTATAGAGATGTGTAGTGTATAGAGATGGGTAGTGTATAGAGATGGGTAGTGTATAGAGATGGGTAGTGTATAGGGATTTTACCGTCTATATTACTTCTTTGACCCATATATATGTGTAGTGTATAGAGATGTTTAGTGTATATGTATATGTGTAGTGTATAGAGATGTGAGCCTTGTTTGTTCCATAAATCTATAGAAATATTCCAGCATGGTGGAATCAAAATCAAAATCTTTTTAGTGCAAAAATAACCTATCCTTAATACATTTGTCTATTTGTTTCCGTAGTTGTGATAAACTGTTTAAACAACTGGTAGAGTAATGACATTTTTCAGAACATATCTGGATTAATCCATTGAAACCTGTGAAAAGACTTTTGGGATGAAAATATTCTTTTCATTATGTCAGCAAACATTTGAGATAAATTAAAAGCACCATGCTATTGTTTGTTTTCATGCAAGACTCCAAATAAAGTGTATAGGTCACCAAGGGAACACTTGAGACACACACTCAAGGAAAATTGCTTAACTTTGACAAAACATGTCAGGAATGTGTATATTTGATCACATTTTTTTAATGTTGGATAATTACTTTTCTCCCTATCATTTGGCATGAACAATTACATCCTAATTATTGTAAATATGAATTTCTCAAAATTTGGTTTGGTGATTTTATGTGCATTTCTATTAGAAATGCTTCTAAAGGACTAGTTGAACAGCATATGACATTTATGTATAAACGTTACAGAACAGGACTGACTGAGGAACAATAAGCAGGAATTAAGTTTTCAAGTTTGTTCTCTCGTACGAATATTTCATACAGCGATGGTAAAGGTAATTTAAAGAGGAAGGTGCATAAACTTTTCTCTGTAAAAAAACCTGTGTACTTAATTGTTTATCAACATCAGGGAAATAAAGTGTTTATACTAAAAATATGACCAGACACATTTTTGTTCCAATGCTTATCAATTCAAGAAGAAATGCGTAACTTCTATGTACATGTATGTAGGATGGAAACTAGGTAATGTTATTGTAAGGGGGACTGGATACAAGGTGTAATTGTATGGAGGCTGGATACAAGGTGTAATTGTATGGAGGC